TTCATACAAAAAAAAGATGAGATTAATGAACATGTGTTGAAAAGTGTTATATTGGCATCTATTAAAGAGGAAATCGTAGAAAATCATTTTGAAGTGGTGTGAACGTATTCAAAGAAGGCTATTTGATGCGCTGGTGAGAAGGGTTAATCGATTAATTAAGTTTTTTAACAACATCTTTTGGTTAATTGTTCTGTGCAATCCATGTAATTGACTCCACTTAGGGGGATATGTGATCAAAGTTGTAAAATATTTGAGATTTGTAAACCAACTAATTTGGTCAATCTCACCCTAATTTTACCCAAATTCTTGTCCAAATGCATTCTTCCTAATTGAACGAAGAATTATGTCCAAGATACCAGCAAAAACTCTATAAAATATTATTGATGATGAATATGATCTAGCATAAGCATTAAAATTAGAGTCACCTGGATTTAAGTTCCATAAAGGAACTGGTCTTGATAATCTGCTCTTCCTCATATGTGCTTAAATCCGGCCTATGCATTCAAAAAATGTCTTTCCACTTGCAACAGTAATATGATTTAGCATATGCATTAATGATGATGAATATGATCTAGCTATGCATTAAAATTAGAGTGACTTGGATGTAAGTTCCACAAAGGAACTGGCCTTCATAATCTGCACTCCTCATATGATCTTAAATCCGGCCTATGCATTCAAAAAATGTCTTTCCAATTGCAAAAGTAATATGATCTAGCATATGCATTAATGATGATGAATATGATCTAGCTTATGCGTTAAGATTAGAGTGACCTGGATATAAGTTCCATAAAGGAAATGGCCTTGATAATCTGCATTTCCTCATATGATCTTAAATCTGGCCTATGGATGCAATTAAAAAAAAAAGTCTTTCCACTTGCAACTGTAATAGTAGTGAGAAATATGAAGAACTAATGTTGTTGCTGAAAAAAATGGCTGATCCAACGCCTTTTTCATAGAAAATATTATTTTCAGTGGTCTTTCTAGTAAAGGTTTCCAAATGCTTAATGTTCTTTTCTTGTGTGAATTATTTACTTAAGCTGAGATTAGGGAACGGGACTGGTGCAACGTGGTCACTTGTCATATGGATACCACCCAAGCATATGTGTGGAGACTCCAAAACTTTGTTCTTGGTGAGCATATATTGAAGCCATGCCCCCAAAATCCGACACCTGTAAAGGTTATCATCTTACCAAGTCTAATTTGATTTCCTGTGTAAGAGGGAAAGTAGGTATATGTCAAAATCATCCCCAGCCTTCTTTGAGAAGATTAGATTTTTATGTTGCTTTTGCATTTGACAAGGTATTCGAACCCCCATAACTAAATGAACAGAATTTTGATACTCAAGACCTCATTTATCTAATTCTTCCAATTAAATTGATGTCAGCATAAAGGGCCTGACCGGTTGTTTTGGGACAACCCTTGATTAGCGCTCTGTTGCTTTTCTTGGGTCAGGAGGGCGAATTGTTGTTTTGAAAATAGAAATGAGTGAAATGTATAGCTAACCAGTAGCTTGCTGCCGGATTATATAACTTGTTTCATTAGGATCATTGTGTTATGAGAAAGTAGCATATTACACACTCTCGGATGTCAAATGTTGCATCTCTTGTTGGATGTTAAATTAATTATGAATTATGATGAACAACAGTTAGCTGTTGATAATGGCTTTCATGTGATCCCAGGCTTGTGCTATCAGTGCTTGTGGCAATTTTGCCTTGCTAGGGACAGCATGTGGTTGGATTGAAAGATTTAACCTTCAATCTGGAATCAGCCGGGGTGCTTACGTTGACATATCAGAACCTAAAAATTGTGCTCATGATAGCGAAGTAGTTGGAGTTGCTTGTGACTCCACAAATACCCTCCTGATAAGTGCTGGATATCATGGAGATATAAAGGTTAGTGTTGGTGAGCGTATTTTGGCAGCTTGTTCAAATGGGTCATCTTGTATTCCTGTTTCGTGCTAAAATAACCTGCATTTAGTATGGGACATAATTGAAATTAGTTTTGTTTCACATTTTTTAAGTTTTAGGCTTGTTTAATAATGTTTTTCTACTTAAACATTCCTAGTTTAGAACCTTAAATAAAAGGAAGGAGTGGAATTTCACAGGGCCTTATTGGGTCAAAATCTCAACATTTCACATTAAGCAAACATGCACAATCTTGCAAACAACAGCACAGTAATAGGATTGTATGTGGGAAAAATAAACTGCACATCAGCAAGACAAACCCACCTTTCACAAAAAATATCAGATTGTCCGCTCCAAATCTGCCAGCCCACTTCACAATGTGGAAAAAGACGACTCATCTCCTCTGTCATGGCCTCCCATTCGGTTACAGCAGTCGGCCTATTTGGGAAAGTATTCCATATGGTAATCGTAGGGAATGGAAAGATCTTCGGTTCTTAGTCTTCTCTCTCTCTCTCTCTCTGTCTCTTAATTTATGTGAAAATTAATCTTCTAATTATTGAAGTTTTGACTCACTTAAAATTTAACCCCTCAATTATGAATCAGTGTGACTCAGTCCTCAATCCCTAAACTTTCTTATTTTTAATAATTTTATTCTTATAACCTATAACTCATTTCAAGCCATCATTTAGTCATGTTATGTGGCATCTAACTCAACTCCAGGTGGATTTGATAGATTTTTTTTTTTTTTGGGGGGGGGGTGCCTCAAATTTACAGGGCATGAGATCATCTTTTGCTTTATTCTTCATCTTCATCATTCGAGAGGAAAAGAAGGATAATGTTTTCTCAGGGTTTGTTGGTTGGCTGTGCACCAAGGTGGCAGGTAAAGACTTGAGAGAAAGGAAACTAGCAAGTAAAGACTTAAGAGTTTCACTTCTAGGAGTTGTTGGATCTGCGCACATTAGCCACCAATTTTTAGTGTTGTTTTTATTTTCTTAGTTTCTATCATGGAAGTGTGAGAAAATGTAGAGTGAGAAAATTTGCAGAGTTGTTTCAAGACAGGGGTGTATGTCCTCCTTTGTAAATCTCAAGAGAATGAGATAATCGAATGATGGAGATGAAGAATGAAGTAGAAGAACATCTTGTCCTCTGTAAATGAGTTATATTGCATTCCCTATTTTCTTTTTTACCTTATCAAATCCACCTGGAGTTGGATGTCACCACAACTTTTAGTGTTGTTTTTTTGGCCACATAAGATGACTCAATGAGGACTTGGAATGAGTTACAAATGATAAGGGCAAAATTATTAAAAATAAAAAAGATTAATATAATTTTTAGTCCCTCAAGTTTTAAATCATAGGTTTTGGTCCCTCAAGTTTTATTATAGGGACCGATATTTTAAATGGAAAGAAACTTGAGAGACCAAAACCTATGGTTTGAAATTAGAGGGACCAAAACTCAAGTGAGGGCAAACTTGAGAGACCAAATTTTGTGTTAACCCCAACAAAAAGATTAGCAACTGAGTTGGAGTTGATTTAAAAGTTTAGGAACTGAATTTTACGTGAATTAAAACTTTTAAGGACTAAAATATTAATTTTCTCTTTCTTTCTTCACTTATTTCCCCGCTCTTGGTTAGGGAGGATGGTGTGTTTTTGTTTCATGTTAATAAAAAGCAACTTCTACCATTTTGTGTGGGACCTCCCATTTCTAATAGGTTCTCTCACAGGTCTGGGATTTCAAGGGACGTCAATTTAAATCGAGATGGGGCATTGGGCGCCCTATTGTCAAGATCAATTACCATCGTTATAATGGTAGCTTCTGCTTATGACTTGCTCTAGTTGATGTTTTGTATTTGTATTCTTCATAACTTCTAGTCTTTGATTATGAGGTAATCAATATTTTTTCATTGTTTTCAGGTCTTTTGGCTGCCGTTGTCGATGATTACACTATACAATTGTTTGATGTTGTGAATCTTAAACTTGTCCGTAAATTTGAAGGTCACACTGATCGTATAACAGACTTGTCCTTCAGTGAGGACGGAAAATGGCTTGTATCTTCCAGTATGGATGGAAGCCTTCGAATTTGGGATGTAATCTTAGCAAGACAAATAGATGCGATACTTGCTGATGTGCCTGTCACTGCATTATCCCTCTCCCCAAACATGGATATACTAGCTACTACACATGCTGATAAAAATGGAGTATACCTGTGGTGAGTCTCCACATTTACTTTTTACCTTACTCAGCAAGTTGGCGGAGAACATCTTTCATATGTCCAAGATTTTGGTGAATCTTCTTCTGGATGTTTCTTAGCTTAAGTGTCAAATAGTCTGGAAGCTGATTTTGTTTTGGCTGGCGGAAGTCATTTTGAAAACAGTGAAATGCCAATATGTTTTATGTAGACAAGTTATTTCCGGGACAAAATTCTGCATGTATTACAAGTTTCATTATCATGTTATTTTCTATGGAACGAACAAGAGACTGGTTTGTTTGAAAAATGTCTGAAAAGTATAGGCATCCTGAATATTCGGGAAGACAGTTGCATTCATGAATGACGTACTGTTGATGATTTAGAAATTCAACTAAAAAGTAAATGACAATTTGAATGGAATTAGTTTTATTAATCTAGGAATTGAGTTGACACCTTAATAATTTTCTTTATCAGGGTAAATCAGGCGATGTTCTCTGGTGCTCCAAATGTTGATTCCTTTGCAAGTGGAAAGGATGTTGTGAGCATCAAGCTACCATCTATCTCCTCTACAAATGATTCTCAAGTTGAACATTCTGATAAGCCGGCAAATGCTTCTGAACCTAAGGATGTTCCAGGTTTTGCTGCTCAAGAGAAGCATATGCCTGATCTGGTTACTCTCTCATTACTGCCTAAGAGCCAGTGGCAAAGCTTGATTAGTCTAGACATTATAAAGGTCTTCAAATGTCTTCTACATTTCTTCTTATGCTATGTAATAGTGTGATTTCTCTTTCCTGATAACTGTAAATAGCCTTTAATATGTTATGCTTTTCTGGACCACCAACTCTAATTTGCAGGCCCGCAATAAACCTGTTGAGCCTCCAAAAAAGCCTGAAAAGGCTCCATTCTTCTTGCCTACTGTTCCGTCTCTTTCTGGGGAAATATTGTTTGAGCCTGGTAAGTTACTAGAAAAGGAGAAAGATAAAACAAGCCACGAAGCAGAAATATTTAAAAGTGCAGACATGCCGCCATCCCAATTTCTTTATCTTCTTAAATCCTCAGCCGAAGGAGACAATTGTAAGAACTTTTACAATCTGATATTTTCTGCACATTCTGTTATTTATTGGTTTTATATACACAGTTTTGTATATTCTGTTCGAAGTGATAATTCAAAGCATATCTCTGATATTTTGGATTTCATTTGTAGATGCAGCTTTTACTGATTATATCAAAGGATTATCTCCATCAACTTTGGATATGGAACTTAGAATTCTTCAGATCATTGATGATGACGATCATCAAGAATATAAGAAACCAGAGTTGGTTTCGATTGAACAACTTCTGGACTATTTTATTCATGAGCTCTCCCGCAAAAATAATTTTGAGTTTCTACAAGCTGTAATCAGGTTATTTTTAAAGGTAAAAAAGTTTTCCCTATCTGTGATTAGGAACTTTGATGACTTAGGTTTATTCAAAGGTGTAGAAGATTCTCTGTACATACGTACACACGCACACATCAGTATATCTATATATATATATATATATATTTTTCACAAGCTATTTTCTTCTGCGTCTCACAGATACACGGTGAGACAATTCGGCAGCAGTCACAGTTGCAAGATAAGGCGCGGAAGCTTTTAGAAGTTCAATGCCTGGTTTGGCAGAAAGTAGATAGATTGTTTCAAAATGCTAGATGTCTGGTTTCTTTTCTGAGTAACTCACAGATTTAGATATGAGTAACTCATCCTGAAATTTTCCAATTTGAGTGGTAGTCTAGGCGCACGATAAGAGCAGATCTATGAAAGATGTTATCTTATGGGGTTACACGTACATTTGGAGGCAGATGGAAGGGTGGTGAATGATTCGAAGCTGGTGGACGAATTCTTGTGATGATGTTTCAAGTTTTGTAGATCTATTTTAGCCCCACCAAAGGGTTAAAAAAGGAATTTAATTTTTTTCAACTGTCATTTTAAAGGGGGACCAGCCGTGACGTGGTCTTATTTAAAGTGTTGGATGCATTATAGATAAAATTAGGGTGTTAAAATGTAACCAAAAAAAAAAAGACCTGGGTTTTAAGATAATTAGGATGGCAAATGTGACAAAACTAAGATCAGATGTACTTAGAAAATAAAATTAAAGCGCTGGAAAGATGATGAAGAGTTGGTTGAAATAGGCACTGAATACTTTTGGAGGAATTTTCTCTTAATCACTGGCATGGCAATTGAATTCATGAACATTAGCATTGGGCTCCTAATAGATGCTATAAATTATTTTTCATTAAAATTAGACTGATTTTGTAAATTTTCAATTTATAAAAATTATTTTTTGATTGATGCGAAGAAGTTAATTACACCACAAAATGAGATGTTAGAGACTGGGGGATATAAAAAGGGTGGGATGAAGTAATGAATTGTCTCTTTAAACAATGCCACCTTTCGAAGCACTTCATTCTCCTTTCTCACCACACACTCGTGATCACTGATCACTCTCCTCAAGTCGATAATATTAGGGCGCAAATATGGGAGTCGTGAAAAGTTGGGAGCATGATAGACGGGAGTTATCTTCTTCTTGTTTGTTTGTTTTTTTTTTTTCTAAATCTCAGTGGGCCATTTTAATCTTTCAATATGTTTTCATAATTCCATTTAAGGATTGTCTTTTAATAGGATTATAACACTTAGAGTACCCTTTGAGAATTAAGCAATTTCCAAATTCTTTATTGTCGTTTTTTCTGAGACTTTACAAATTGAACTCATCTCTTTAAATTTCAAAAATCAAGTAATATTAGATTCCCATATCTAATATATAACCAATTTGAATTATAACAAGTGTGTTGGTTAAAATTTTTGTTTGTTGCTGCATACACTTGTGGTTGATTGAGGAAAGGGATTGACGCATTTAGGCAAGAAATGACGAGAGCCTAATTCTGATTGATTGATCTCCTATGTTATGTTGTCAACTATATTTGAAATTAGTGTTTTAGTAATGTGCTAAATTATTGTCGAGACTAATGGATTTAGAGTAGGAAATAACGATGACCCAATTATGATTGACTGGACTTCTATGTTGTGGTGTCAACTATGTTTGAAATTAGTGTTATAAGAAGGGAAAATGGCATTAAGGTCCCACACAAGCATAAATACAGCAAAAAAGTCTCCTGAAATCTCATAATTTTCCTGAAGTCCCAAAGGGACTTAGATGCAATTTTTAGAATCCAAAAATTACTCTCTTGCCCTGCCCCTGCCATCAGAAACAAAGACGGGAGAAGTTCATTTGGGTGAGGAGTTCCCGCGCAATATGCTTGAGAGAGAAGAGATTGGGAAAGAGGGAAGGAGCCATTGATGATGAAATATCTTCTCCATTACCATTAGTGAACTCCAAAGAGCTTCCATGTGAATCTCCATAAATTTTCAGGTGTGGAACTTTCTTTCCTTCCTCTCCTACCTTTCTTAACAGATTGTGCATTTGTTTGGGAATGGGAAATTAGAAAATCGTTTTTGTCTTTTTGGGTTGCTTGTGGGTGGTTTTGGGAATGAGATTCACAAGTTAATCAATAGAAAAGCTGTGTTTTTGGTTGGTGTGTGTTAGTGATTTAAGTTGGGTGTGTAGGATGATCATGGGTGCTCTGTTTTTGAGTTGCTTGTGGGTGGTTTTGCTTTGTTCTAATGTTAGTTCAGTGGCAAAGGAAGAAAAAGATGAAGGTTAGTGTGGGTGGAAACCTTAGTACAAAATGGGATATTGTATTGTCAATCAGGCCGCGATAGTTGTCAACGCGTGCCGCGACAGTTGTCAATATAGCTCCTTGACTTGTCAATGACAGTTGCGTGATTCTTGATGCAGGTTTAAATTACTGATGGCGGGTACATCCAGAAAGTATCTATTTTGCTTTGTTCACATAGGTGGAAAGTTTATAAATGACGGAGAAGATGATATGAGATATGTGGGAGGTAGTGTAAGAACAACAAATATAAAGGAGGGCACAAGTTATGAAGAATTGAAGAAGATTATATCATCAATTGCTGAAAAAGAAACCAACTCATTTCTTTTGAAATTCTCAGTTGTGTTTGATAAAAAAAACTTTTGTGGAGTTGGTAGATGATGATGGGGTAGAACATTTGATAAAGTTCAATGAAAAAAGTGGTCATGTGTATGTAGAAGAGACTGGAAATAAGGACCACATAGAAGCAACAAGGGATAATACAATGGAGGAGCAAGATGTGTAAGTTTAGTTTAACAAATCTGTTATTGTCATTTCTTGGTATGTCAGTTGTTACTGTCTTGCTATCAACTTGTCAATGCATGCACCCTGACTTGTCATTTCCTGCAGGATTGATCAATCATTTGGAGGTGTCAATGAATTGTCTATGTCTCCACCTACCTTATTTGATGTGATTGGAGAGCCATCATCAATTCCTTGTGCTGTTGAAATGATCCCAACACCTACACCACAAATGAATTCCACAAAATGGAAGGATTTGATTATTGGAGAAGGACAAATATTTCCAAATGCCACTGCTATTCGAGAAGTATTATACAAGTACAACCTATCCCAGAAGTTTTCATACCTTTTTTATTAAGAATAATCAGCAAAAGATCATTGTGAAGTGCAAGGTTGATGGTTGTCCATGGTATATGGGTGCATATTCAATGGGAGCACATCAAGATACTGAGTTTTTAACTATCAGAACATACAAAAGTGAACACATTCATCATGCACAGGACAACTTAATTGTTTCTTACTCAGGAAGGTCAAATTTAACTGCTTCATTTGTGATTGATGACTTGAGGTGCAATGTTGACAAGAGTCCTAATGAAATTAGAAAGGACTTGTATAAAGAATATGGAGTGCAATTGAACTATACTCAAGCATATAGGGTCAAGAAGAGAGCACTAACAGAATTACATGGTCGAGTAGAAGATTCTTATAAGGTAATCCCTTGGATGTGTGAGAGATTAATAGAAACTGATTCTGATACAGTTGCAAGATGGGAAGGCTCAGATAGCAACCGATTTGAGAGGCTATTCATTGCATATGAATGTTCAATTAAAGGCTTTGTACAAGGTTGCAGACCAATATTTATATAGATGGATGTCATTTGAGTGGTCCTTATAAAGGAACTTTATTATCTGCTTGTGCATTTGATGCAGACAATGAGTTGTTTCCCTTAGCATATGGTATTGTTAGCGAAGAAACAAATGATGAATGGGCTTGGTTTCTACAAAATCTGAAAGAGATAACCAGATCAGCATAAATGACAATTGTCTCAAATCAGAGTAATGCTATCATCGGTGCTGTTAAGACAGTATTTGGTGCTGTTAAGACAGTATTTGATGGTGAGAGACATGCTTTTTGCTACTGACATGTGAAAGAAAATTATAGTGCCCAGTATGTGAAAATCAATAGAGGTGTGAGACGAACCTCAGAAAATAACAAGGAGAATGCACTTAATTTACTTGATGGAATCGCATATGCAAAGCATGACAATGAGTTTAATGTTGCAATGGGAAATTTAAGATTGTTTTGTCCACAATTGGCACAATGGGTTGAATCTCATGGGGATGTGGATAGATGGACGCAAAGTAAATTTCCTTTTAAGAGATGGGATAACATCACCAATAATCTTACCGAGTCTTTTAATGCATGGATGTTGAAAGAAAGGAAGCATGCCTTGCCGGTTTTGATACAAGAGCATCAAGAGAAGTTGGCGAAGATGGTTGCTAGCAAAATGGGGATGAAAAGCTAGAAAAATGATATAGGACCCAATATTAAATCAAAGTTGTCAGAACAAATAGCAAGAGGTGTATATATGGAGGCAACATATTATGGTGATGACCATATTTCGGTGCAAACAATGCCTGCGGGACGCATCATTTATGTGACTGTTGATCTTATTTCTCACAGATGCACATGTTTGGCATGGAAAATGAGTGGAATACCTTGTCCACATGCGTGTACGGCAATCAAACTAGTTCACCGTAGTGTGTGATTATATAGATGACTATTATAAATTGTCCACACAGGAAAAAATATATGCAAATAGCATGAGACCAATTGCAACGCATGATTGCCCATAGTCGGATGCACCTACTGTGACTCATATGCTGATCCAAATATTCTTGCATCCACCCATAACTAAAAGGCCTCCAGGAAGGCCAAGGATTAATAGGATAGAATCTCAGTTCCAAAATAAGAAGGTTTATCGTTGTGGAAGATGCAAAGAGCCTGGACACACTGCCAAGACATGCAAGAACCCAAATCTCAGCTGAGAACATATTGAAATCAGCTATTTTTTTATATACGGATATGAAGGGAATATTTTGTAAATGGGTGTGTTGGGAATTTTTTGTAAATGGATACACACCAATAGTTAGTTTCTCATAATTACATGCAACCCCTATGTTTTTTTGGGATGGGTTGTGAAATAGGTGTAGTTTCATGTATGTGAAGGTGAAAATGAAAGTTGACTATGAATTGGCATGTTAGATTCTGCTGTCATTTAAGTTGTCATTACCTGCACCCTGTATTGTCATTAGACCTGTTATGACTTGTCAATGGAGTACTGTCACTTGTCAATTAATTTGCTAATGTAAGTTGTCAATAATATGAATTCAAGTTACATAACCTGTTTTGGTAACATATGATATTTTCAATCACTCCGTCATATTATATTTTTGATTATATTGTCGTATATAATCATTATTAATGAAGTGTCAATGGTGGCATTGTGACTTATCAATGGTGGCACATTGATTTGTCAATCGTGGCACTGTAACTTGTCCATGGTGACACACTGACTTGTCAATGGTAGCACTGTGACTTGTCAATGGTGGCACTGTGACTTGTCAATAGTGGCACACTGACTTGTCATTAGTAGCACAGTGACTTGTCAATGGTGGCACACTAACTTGTCATTCTTGACACTGTGACTTGTCAATAGTGGCACACTGACTTGTCATTGGTGGCATTGTGACTTGTC